TGGGATGGGGAATAGAGGAAAGACAGCACAGGGTGGGATGGGGAATAGAGGAAAGACGGCACGGGGTGGGATGGGGAATAGAGGAAAGACGGCACGGGGTGGGATGGGGAATAGAGGAAAGACGACACGGGGTGGGATGGGGAATAGAAGAAAGACGACACGGGGTGGGATGGGGAATAGAGGAAAGACGACACGGGGTGGGATGGGGAATAGAGGAAAGATGGCACGGGGAGGGATGGGGAATAGAGGAAAGATGGCACGGAGAGGGATGGGGAATAGAGGGAAGTCGGCACTGGGAGGGATGGGGAATAGAGGAAAGAGGGCACGGGGAGGGATGGGGAATAGAGGAAAGACAGCACAGGGTGGGATGGGGAATAGAGGAAAGACGGCACGGGGTGGGATGGGGAATAGAGGAAAGAGGGCACGGGGTGGGATGGGGAATAGAGGAAAGAGGGCACAGGGTGGAATGGGGAATAGAGGAAAGACGGCACGGGGTGGGATAGGGAATAGAGGAAAGAAGGGACTGGGAAAGTTGAAAGGAAGGAGAGACTAGCGGGCAGAAGAAAAAAGACACTGGAAGCCCTGGAACGAATGATAAGTCTCCATCAAGGAAAGGGTTAAAATACATTCCAGAATATCATCCACATTTTCACACAGTCTGTTTCTGTTTTAAGCTTCAGTCTGGTCCTGAAGGGCCGGAGGTCACTGCATCTCCTGGGAATCACGCAGACTGAATAGACGGCATTAATAGTAGATGCTGTGCTGGTCAAATACAACAAGCCTTGTGTACCCGTAGACTAGCCACGGACATACCACAGCCTCATGAACAGGTCGGGTATAGGCTGTCTTTGGGGGAGGGGGGGGGAACCTGCTCGGACCACAGAAAGTCCATTTTATTCATTCTTCATGCATAGTATAAACGTTAAATATCTCTTGAGTCGTAACTTCTAACTTGCATAAGTAAAAGGAAACATACGAACCTCTTGAAGTAACAAAACTGATGGCGCCGGTGATGTATTTAGAAAAGTAGACAGTCACCCGCACTCCTAAAACTTCTATATTGGAAAAGTTCAAGTTACAAGTAAGTACCAAAGCTTCCGTACCTCGCCCGGGTCCCTTTTTTTAAGGCACCAGTGTGACCCGTGTATGGAACCTTTTGCTGTCCTGCAGCAAGACCACAGGTTATGTTTTGTGAACGGTCAAAGCATACATGGGTCAGAGACACGACACCAGCGCCAATGTCAATCTCGGCGCAGTAGAAGCTGTACCAAAAAGGCAAAGAACTTAAAATGCATCTACACATCATAAAATCACGTTGCCCGGAGTCCAGCTCCAATTGTATATAGACTTCCATCACAGTTTCTGTATTTCCTAAGTTACCTTAGTAGCTCACGGTTCCAAAATAATGTTTCTGAAACGCTATGAGGTCATCCATTCATCATGTTATAGCTATAAAGCCGAATTTATGATATTTGCATGTTTACATTGATTGACTGTGTATTTAAACAGCACACGCACGAAGAAAGTGCACACAGTGGGACCAGAGAAATCAGTGGAGTTATTGCATATCATTTGACTGAATGGACACCAATTGGTGATGGTGATGGTGACATCACCCAAGTCCAAAAAACTAGGGCTGTGGAAATTAAAGATTAATTTCTCGATTAATCGTTAAACTTTTTGATCGATTAAAATTATTTTGATCCCTAATGAAAACACTCACCTCTCTGCCGGCTTCCGGGACTCCCGTCGGCGATGTCCGTGACGTCACCGGATTCCTCCCCCCTTCCCGAAGTGGCTCCATCGGCTAACGAAGGGAAGGGGGGAGGAGTCCGGTGACGTCGATGTCCGTAACGAAGGGAAGGGGGAGGAGTCCGGTGACGTTGATGTCCGTAACGGCTAACGAAGGGAAGGGGGAGGAGTCCGGTGAGGTCTATGTCCGTGACGTCACCAGACTCCTCCCCCCTTCGTTAGCCTACGGAGCCACTTGGGCCGGTGAGTTTGCCCAAGAAACTTTCTGCACGAGCGCCAGCCAAGGCATCGGCCTATACACATACAGCACAGCAATGAAGTAATAAAATGAACTAGGATCACACTAATCCAGCACGTTATTATTCTGAGTTGCCCCACTCAAGCGGCGGCCATATTGAGTGGGGCACGTGAGATTAATAACGTGCTGGATTAGTGTGATCCTAGTTCATTTTATTACTTCATTGCTGTGCTGTATGTCTTCTATAGGCCAATGTAGTTGCATCTGCATGTGCGTTATAATTAATCGAAATTAATCGATCGATTAAAAAACAAAATTTGATTAATCGGACGCGAAAATTTTAATCATTACCAGCCCTAAAAAAAACTATTGCTATCATCAACCAGTCTGACTTTCTTTTTCTGACCGGCCTTAAGCTGCCCATACACCTTATGAATATCGGCCGATTTTCGTATGCGATCGCGTTTCCGTCCGATATTGGTAAGGTTGATGGGCAGTGTACAACCGCAAATACTGTACAATCCATCGACTTTTGACTATCCAGCAGGTTAGAAAACTTCGGTCGATCGCATGATTTTCGCAAGGTTGGTGGCGTTTCCGTACGTCAAAATTCGTACGATCTACACTGCAGATGCGCAGGTGAAACTACGTGCATTACCGCAATTCGTCCAGGTGCTTTCTTCTAATTAGCGCTGATGCAACCTTGCGATAATCGGGGCAGGATGGGGCCACCGAAAATCGTACGACAGTTCGATCTTCTGACGAAAAGTGTTGTCCGATGATCGAAGGTGTATGGGCAGCCTTAGAGATTTAAAGGAGAATTATGAGGTGAGTGATTTTCACTCAGCCTCATAACCTGAGCCGACCTGTGACAATGAGAGTGTCACAGGTTGGCTCAGGAACCAGCTGAGGTTAATAACTGGAAAGCATTAAAGAGACTGGTTCCAAGGGCAGGCCGGATCAACGGCTGAGAAGCACATCTCAGGAACAGGTTCAGGTTCAAGTCGCAGGGTAACAGCTAAAGACCATCCAGCAACATCCTAACTCAACTGTGTTCCTTGAATAGGCTGTCAGGTGCCAAGATTGGAATTAGGCTTGCATGCCCATGCATCTGCAAGGTCGCGGAACGTGCCCCATGAATTAGCGTACTCAAGGGAGTTAGCGTGCCTGCATTAACTAATGTGTTTGCTCCTGCAACCGCTGGCAATGACCCTTGTTCTGCATATTGGCGCATGTGTCATCTATTTCTGGGAAGAATTGGTTCTGTTCCTTGCCTAGTGTTCCCTTTTAGCCTTGAGAAACAGATACAATGTCAGGCCATAGACCGGTCAGGCCTTAGAGCCGCCTTTCCCAATATTTTTACACCATAAGAACCCTTTAAATAATTTCCAGGTCTAAGAGACCGGTTAAAATAATTAATTGGGGGTCATTGGAAAGAATGCCCCTTATATTGGTGGTCAGTGGAAAGAATGGCCCCATTACAGTGGTGGTGAAAATGCCTCCCCTAATGGCAGATTATTGGTGTCATGCCACTGGCCATGCCGAGTTGTGTTGGGCCTTGGGCTATGCAGGCAGATGAGAGGTCAGTCAGCCACAGCTCAAGCAACCACTAGAAACCTCTGATCGAACCCTAGGGTTCCATGGAACCCTGGCTGAGAATAATGGCGGCCAAAGAGAAGATGTGCAAAGTTGAGGACTGGGACTACTGTTATGTTATGGAGCACCTGTCCTTAGCCCGATGTTCCAAATCCACAAGGTCAAAAGGAGTGCTGGAGCCATATCTCCCAACTTTCTAAAATGAGAAAGAGGGACACCTTGTAGTACAATGTATTTAGTTACTTGGACCATGAAGAATTAATATGCAGAAAATGATTGCGTAAATTGTGCTTTCATTCACTACTCCTTTCATTCAACCATTCACCACTCCTTTCATTCACCATTCAACACTCCTTTCATTCACCACTCCTTTCATTCACCATTCACCACTCCTTTCATTCACCATTCACCACTCCTTTATAATGGCTTTTCAGAATAAGAGGTGCAGTAATGTAGAGGTTGGATGAAAGGTTTGTGTAGCCTTCCTCTTCTGCTACATCGTATATTTTTATAGAGGTTTGTACATCATAGAAAAAAAAGGGAGAACTGAGAAGTAAAGAGCGCCAAAGGGATTTGTTTCCAGAGGAGATCAAGTTGGCAGCTATGCTGTAGCCGGGAAATATTGTACCTCAGAGGACAGGAGACGAGTAGAACCCTTTCTTCTGAAAGATAACTTGTGTTTGGAGAAATACAGAAGCTGGTCTGAAAATGCTAATTTTCTGTCTATCTCTATGATGCCGTGGCCTCCATACTTTAGATTCTAGTTTATATCTAAAGCCACATTTTGGATGGAGCAGGGGACTGTTTAAACCTGTTAAGTTTTTTTTTTTTGGCATCTGTGTTCCATTGGTGAGATTTTCCCTCCACTTCCTGTTCTGTAATGAGAAAGAAACCTCCTTTCGACTGTTGTCATTGGAAGAAGTGTTCCCATTGGAGGATTGTGCCTCTAGTGCTGTTTTGGTGTCAACTCAGAATTCTGGATATTCCCATCACTCTCAGCCTCAGTGACAATGGGAGAGAAAATCTACCTGTGGCAATAAAAACAGAGGTTCTAAACGCCCCCCTCATCACTCTACCCAAAGTCCCCGCTGTCCTCTCCCTGAATCACCCCGCCCAGCTCACATTGCTTTTCTTGTCTTGCAGATGGTTTGCCTTGATGGAGATTCACATGTTGGTGGTTTTATTCCTCTACAAATATGAGTTCCAGTTACTGGATTCACTTCCCAAACAGGTACCGAGGTCTTTATTGTGTACAGGGCTTGTGATGTTAAAGCTGATCACCGGCCTTCCCTTCAGTCTTGTATCTGACCTCTGTCCTTCCCTTCAGTCTTATATCTGACCTCCATCCTTCCCTTCAGTCTTATATCTTACCTCCAGCCTCCCATTCAGTCTTCTATCTGACCTCTGTCCTTCCCTTCAGTCTTATATATGACCTACAGCCTCCCATACTCTCTTCTGTCTGACCTCCGTCCTTCCCTTCAGTCTTGTATCTGACCTCTGTCCTTCCCTTTAGTCTTATATCTGACCTCCATCCTTCCCTTCAGTCTTATATCTGACCTCCGTCCTTCCCTTCAGTCTTATAGCTGACCTCTGTCCTTCCCTTCAGTCTTATATATGACCTCCAGCCTCCCATACTCTCTCTTCTATCTGACCTCTGTCCTTCCCTTCAGTCTTATATCTGACCTCCATCCTTCCCTTCAGTCTTCTATCTGACCTCCAGCCTCCCATTCAGTCTTCTATCTGACCTCCGTCCTCCTCTTCAGTCTTTATATCTGACCTCCATCCTTCCCTTCAGTCTTACTGTATATCTGACCTCCAGCCTCCCATTCAGTCTTCTATCTGACCTCTGTCCTTCCCTTCAGTCTTATATATGACCTCCAGCCTCCCATACTCTCTTCTATCTGACCTCTGTCCTTCCCTTCAGTCTTGTATCTGACCTCCAGCCTTCCCTTCAGTCTTCTATCTGACCTCTGTCCTTCCCTTTAGTCTTCTATCTGACCTCCATCCTTCCCTTCAGGTCTCGTTCACACTTAGGCGTATTGCATATGCGATTCGCGGTAAAAAGTTGCGCGACAAACGCGCGTTTCCGAAGGCTACTTGGCTGTATCCCAATGGAAACGCGCAACAAAACGGCCCAAATTAGTACCTGTACCTTTTCAGGCGTGGGCCGTTTTTTATAGCGCGTTAGGGACGGGCGGAAATACGCCAAAGTGGGAACGAGACCATTGAATACAATGGGATTTATATTTTTGAGCGTTTTGTAGAACGTTCGTTGATCGTAGAACGCGCTACAAAACGTTCAGGTGTGAACGAGGGCTCAGTCTTATTTCTGACCTCCAGCCTTCCATTCAGTCTTCTTTTTTTTTTTTTTTATTCTTTATTGACTGAGAAAAAAGTCAAGTACAGAAAACCATTGTATGTGGTTACAGAGTATGGGCATAAATTCCACAGAACTCGTAATAAAACGGATTACTCCGCATCAAGGTGACATAACCCGACTGAAAAATAAAACACATACGAATAATCATAACAGCTTAGTACAGTCTCAGGTGCGTCAACCGTCCCATTCAGCCGTAACATTCTGTACATTAAGGCTCTACGACTAAGTACTATTCTCGGGAGCCATTCAGTCTTCTATCTGACCTCCTACCTTCCCTTCAGTCCTCTACCTGACCTCCATCCTTGCCTTCAGTCTTCTATCTGACCTCTGTCCTTCCCTTCAGTCTAATATCTGACCTCCAGCCTCCCATACTCTCTTCTAGATGACCTCCGTCCTTCCCTTCAGTCTTGTATCTGACCTCTGTCCTTCCCTTTAGTCTTCTATCTGACCTCCGTCCTTCCCTTCAGTCTTGTATCTGACCTCCGTCCTTCCCTTCAGTCTTCTATCTGACCTCTGTCCTTCCCTTTAGTCTTATATCTGACCTCCAGCCTCCCATTCAGTCTTCTATCTGACCTCCTACCTTTCCTTCAATCTTATATCTGACCTCCGGCCTCCCCTTCAGTCTTGCACAGTTGTACCAGTGTTATGTCAAGGTGGCCAACTCATCGAGATCTTCAACTCGTGACATCATCCGTTGTAGATTTCAACGAGATGGCGCTAGTGCGCGTGCGCCAGCCATCACAGTTTTTGCAATCCTCATTGACTACTCCACTTCCCCTAGGTGCGCCTGTGCGGCTTCGAAATGATCGAGTTCTCCAATTCCAGTCGGTGTTTGTGGCATCGGGTGCCCGCGCAGGCGCACTGACGCAGATTGTACAGTGTGGCTGCGCAGGATTACTGACAGGAGTCTGAGGTCTCGATGAGTTGGAAAACTCGATAGAACACCGGCACCTCTCCAGGACTGAAATGGATTACTCTGATCTCACAGCACACTGTGAGCTCCTCACAATGTGCATTAGAAGCTGTAGCAAGTGAGAGAGCCCATCTCATTTCCTGGCTGGAGGACATCCAGCATCATCTAGCCTGACTGTCTTTGACCTGTTCCTTTCATGAATTTCATTTTTTTTAATCATGGAGACTGAAGGGAAGGATGGGGGTCAGATATAAGACTGCAGGTGAGGCTGGAGTCCAGCTTTAGATGTGTGTGGGCACCTAATAAGAAGCAGCGGGTGCACAAGGCTGGACACCATGTATTTGTTATTGTATCCCCTTTAAGTGTCCCCCCCAGCAGTTGGCTGTCACATCATTTATTTAGGCCTTCAGCTACAAAGTGATCTGCGGATTGCCAGCATCTCGTTAACTTAATCAGCCGCTAACGGCAGTGGAAAGTCCAGGTCACCCCTGAGCCGGGCGGTGTGATGTGATGCCGACCATGGACCGGCATACCTGTCATTGTTGTGTCATGATTCAGAGGCTGAAAGGGGACAGTGAGTGTTGAGAGCCGGGCGTGTGCTGGATCCATTCCTCCTCCATGAAAGAATGATGACCTTCACCGGCATTGCTGGTGTTTGCCTATCATGTGACATTGTGTGTGGGAGTAAATACCGATCACACTCCATACCTGGCCGGCCGGCCACCTCAGGAGACCAGAGGGGGGGATCCCGGAGCCTTCCAGGGAGGGGAAATGTTTACTAAGGCCCAGCCAGGGCTGTACACTGAACTAGACCTGGACTCAAAAGGTGAAGATTAGAAATGTTATAAGGAACATTCTGGAGACCCCATACATGGAAAGATCTTCCTTGTGCCTGGAACTCCTCCGGAATGATCACTGAAGCCCCTCCTGGCATATGACACACTGTCTGGAATTATGGCCACAAAGTTCAATGATGGTGTCGTCCGGCCAGGACACATTCTCCCACATGCTTATATCAGACGTGTTGTAGGCCTTTGTAACATATGGCCGGGCTGGGATATTTCTCTTAGGAGGAAAGGACTTCTGTCTTGCCACCCTCCCCCACACAATCACCAGAAGAACACCACACCCACAGTGAAGCATGGTGGTGGTGGTGGCAGCATTATGCTGTGGGGCTGTTTTTCTTCAGCTGGAACTGGGGCTTTAGTCAAGCTGGAGGAACATATGAACAGTTCCAAATATCAGTCAAGTTTGGCACTAGGGATGCACCGTTACCGATACTAGTACTCGTCCTCGTCCAAATGCTCTGATACCTTCCCCGATTCCGGAAATTCCAGTCAGAGGGAGATCCGGGGGAGAATGGAGCCAACTTCCTTTCCGATCAGGAAGCCGGGCGGTGGGGTAACTCACTTCTCAGCTTCCTAATTGGCTAAGAAGCCGGCTTCACTTGTTGCTAGGCAGCCTGGCTTTCTAACCAATCAGGATGCCGGGTGGCACGTATTGACCCGCCTCCCTGATTGGTTAGGAAGCCAGGCCGCCTAGGAACAAGTGAAGCCAGCTTCCTGGCCAATCAGGGAGGTGGGTCATGACATGCCGCCCGGCTTCCTGATTGGCTTGGATGCCAGCTACACTTGTTGGTAGGCAGTCTGGCTTACTGACCAATCAGGGAGGCTGGTCATGATGTGTCGTCTGGCTTCCTGATTGGCTAGGAAGCCGGCTTCACTTGTTGCTAGGCAGCCTGGCTTCCTGACCAATCAGGAAGCCGGATGGCGGGTCATGATATGCCGTCTGGCTTCCTGATTGGCTAGAAAGCCGTTTTTTATTTGTTGCTAGGCAGCCTGGCTTCTTGACCATTTAGGAAGCCGGACAGTACCTCATAACCCACAGCCCAGCTTCCTGATTGGTCAGAAAGCCAGGCAGCCTCGACAAGTGAAGCCGGTGTTCTTTCGATAGAACACCTGCTTCCCAAGCAATCAGGAAGCCAGGCGACGGGCCGTGATCCACCGCCCGACTTCCTGATAATCGGGGCACACGGCACAGGTACTCAGTACCGGCAAGTACCGGGAAAAAAAAATATCGCTACTTGTACTCCATACCAAAAAAACAGTATTGGTGCACCCCTATTTGGCACAAAACCTTCAGGCCTAAAAAGATGAAGAGGAATTTCATCTTTTAGAACATCGATGACCCGAAGCATGCCTCCAAATCAACAAAAGAATGGCTTCCCCAGAAGAAGATCAAAGTTTTGGAACGGGCCAGCCACAGCCCAGACCTGAATCCGATTGAAAATCTGTGGAGGTGACTTGAAGAGGGCTGAGCACAGGAGATGCCCTCGTAATCTGACAGATCTGTTGCAAGGAAGAATGGGCAAAGATTCCCAAGGCAAGATGTCCCCTGCTTATAGACTTCTACCCCAAAAGACTGAATGCCGTCATAAATGTTAAAGGTGCTTCGGCAAAGTAACAGTTTAAGGGTGTGTATATTTATGCAATGTGTAATTGGAAGTGTTTTTTATTTTTTTCCCCCTTTAGAGATTTTCATTTGTTTTTTAATTGAATTTCACAGATTAGAGGTCACGCTAAAGGTGGAAAACATTCTAAAGTGATTTATCTTGGTCTTTTTTGTGGCATTTTTCGGGGGTGTGTAGACTTTTTTTATATCCCCTGTATGCGATGTAGCCGGAATCTCTCCTGGACACACATTAGGGAGATTATCTTGGAAACTCGAGAAGGGAGCTGCTGGTATACGACACCAACACTTCCAATGATGGATTTCCTATTGTGAAACCAGATTCCGCCTTACCCCGTCACATCATGAAAGAGAAACCTAACACTTCACACGGGGAGGGCTCCAGGAAACTCTAGAAATGGTGAAATCCTCCGGAAAACCAACCTTCAGGCAAATATGAAAGACAAACACCGGTTTGGTTATGAATACATTAAAATCTTTGTAAAGTCAACTCCTTTTTTTTCGTATTGGATAGAGTAGGGAATGGTTAAAACCCTGGCCGGTTTCTGTGTCGGGGGAAATTTTACTTCCTGTCCCAGAGACATAGCAGGAAGTAAGAGGAGATCTCTCCAAACGGAGGGAACATCCCCTTAAACCAATTTTTCTCCACCAGGGTGTCTTTTGACCTCTTCAAGGGCTCCTCAAAATGTTCGCAGGGCGCCATTTTTTTCCATGGTGCAGCCAGGTTCTTGATGTAAAATGGGGGCTCCTAGTTTCAGGAGGGGGGATATAAATGGAGGATCTCCTGATGTAAAAGGTGGGCTCCTAGTGTCAGGAGGGGGGGGATATGAATGGAGGGGCTCCTGATGTAAAAGGGGGGCTCCTAGTGTCAGGGGGGGGGGGATATGAATGGAGGGGCTCCTGATGGAAAAGGGGGGCTCCTAGTGTCAGGAGGGGGGGGATATGAATGGAGGGGCTCCTGATGTGAAAGGGGGGCTCCTAGTGTCAGGAGGGGGGATATGAATGGAGGGGCCCCTGATGTAAAGAGGGATTCTGATGTAAAAGAGGATAAATCTGATGTAAAGAGGGTAGGGGCTCCTGATCTGAAGGGGGGACTCCCACGTAAAGCGGGGAACCCCAGACCTCTATCTAGGATAAAGAGGGGGCCACGTTTTTACATCTACCTTTTTTTCATAGTTCCTGCATACTTTAAAAGGGTGCGGTGACTGAAAGAAGGTTGAGAAACGTTGCCTTAGACAATCTCACCATTATCAGGCTTCCTCATCAGAAGAGTTCCCCTCAGATGTCATTGTTGCGTACTTGTCCTGAGTTTGTGGCTCAGAAAGCTGTAAAGCCCGAGGATCAGACTTGCTCGGTTTGGCACTTTGTGTCATTTGAGTTCAGCGTGCCCGTTCCTGGAAATCTCCGCACTGTATCTGAACACATAGCCGAATTCCTCTGGACACGTGTCCAGCCAAAAATCTGTCCCGGCTTTTGTAGAGCTGCGGAGTTACTCCATTGCTTGGGGTCCTGGAAAGGGGACCACCGGTTCTCCAGTGGCTGGATAGTAGAATAGGGTACGACATGATGGCACCCCAACTTCATAATCCATAATATGCATTTGTTTTGTGGCCCATGAGACCTTAGTTATGCTGCTGGAGAAAGCCACCAAACCTAAAGTGGCCTTTTCAGTAACTTTACAAGTCTGTATGAATCAGACCCCATTCACACCGGGGCGGTTCGGCCGCACCGATCCGCCGACATGAACGATCCCATACGTTGCTATGGGGACCGTTCAATCGACCGCCCCGCGCCTGAACTGCTCCCTGCACTATTTTTGGATGCGCTGATCAGTGCGGTTCCCATACAGGTTTCAATGGAACCGTGCTGATCAGCGCGGTTTTGGGTGGTTTAATTGCGCTGAAACGCAATTAGAGACCACTCTGATCCGCAACCGCCCTGGTGTGAATGGGCTCTAAATGACTAACATGCCACGATATACAGCAACATTAAATAGCAGTGCTCAGGCTCCTGACAGTGACATTGCTCAGTGACTGATGTCATCAGTCAGCTGCAGGCAGGTGGAAGCATTTCCCCAGTCCACTCTCCTCAAGTGATCAGACTGCAACAAGTCTGTGTCAGACAATTGTGAACAAGAACTGCACATGCACCAACTTATACATGATAGGGGTGTCTCTGAGTCGGCATCTCAGCCTTGGAAGACCCTGGATGATGCCTGAACAATAGACGGTGCCATCTTTCTGGGGACAAAAGCATGATGGTTGGTGGAAGGTGTATGCTGTGTAGGATTGTGCAGCAGCACCAGGCGTGGAATATAAACGTGTGATAAGGATGTATAGTCATCATCCAGAGGTGCAGAGATGGGCACATGTGAGTAGATGCATAGTCCTATACAACCGGCCCTTTGAGGGTAACCATACTGCTGATGCGGCCCCCGATGAATTTGAGTTTGCCACCCCTGCTCTATACTGAGTGTTCCTGATCATTCATAACATGAGGACAGAGTATGGTTACTATAACTACAACTATGAATGGACAGGAGGTGATGTAGATCTCTTCCCATTCATTCATAACTGAGGATATAGTACACATACCATGTCCTAAATTATGTACAAGCACTCAGAGATCACTGATCACTTGTACCCACTCTCCATCCTGACAGCTGACACAGGAGGCTGGGCGGTACGGGGAGGGGAGCTCAGCCTCCTGTGACAGCGCTGGCTGTCTCCGCCCACACCGGGAGAGACGCCGGCCACTCACAGCGCTCGACTCCCGCAGCGCTCGGCCGCCTGTGGCAGTTTCTCTCCTCCCACGCTAGGACACAGAGCAGCACCCAGCGGGGAGGAGAGAAAGAAAGGATGCACCGCTGTATCGGCCAGAAAATGGCACTTTCAGCCAATATGTTTCGGCGGCCGATATATCGGTGCATCCCTAAAAATAAGTGTTTACCCATTCTATGCAAAACAAGGAAAATATGTTTTTGAGTTGGCATTCATGAATTCATCATTAACTGTATATTTTGTATGAATTCCTATTTATGTAACAATGTATATTTCTTTAAAGAACCTGAATTTCACTTGGTACCACTGTACAGCAGAGCTCAGACTAAGAGAGGAAGGAGCAGCACAACGAGCCATTCAGCTATACTGTTCTCTTCTGCCAATAAGCGATATGCTGATAGAAGGAGAGAGCAGAGAGATCAGTCATCATTCTACTGCTTCTCCTTCACTGTCTCGTAACAGGCCAGAGGAGAGACAAGACCAGTAATAGTTACTGAAATTGTACCTGAAGCCAGAACCTTTTTTTTTTTTTAGATTTAGAGTGTGGAGGGATTAGAACACACAGGTTTGTATTGCTCTCTGTGTCCCCCTTAGGGAGATTCCCCCCTCCCACATATCCTGGTGACCACTATCACTGAAAGTGAAATAAATCCCAAACTGTGAGTTGTCACCAAAACAGGAATAAATGGCAAATCTTCCAGTGGGGTTTTGCTGACCACCGGGATTTCCTCCGTACTTCCTGTTGTGGCTGTCGGGCAGGAAGTGAAGGCAAATCTCCCCAAAGGGGCAGATATGGGAAAACAAATGAGGATCTGCTGACCACCAGGGATTCCCCTCATACTTCCTGTTGTGGCTATCGGGCAGGAAGTGGAGGGAAATCTCCCCAATGGGACACAGATGGGAAAAGAATGGGCATCTGCTGACCAGCAGGGATTTGCATCTCTTTGGAGGGATTTCCTCTCACTTCCTGTTGTGGCCATCAGACAGGAAGTGGAGGGAAATCCCCCTAATGGAACATAGATGGCAAAAAGAGGGGTTATAACCCTCCCTTACTATATACAAAACAAAAAAACAACTGTCTTCAGTTCTACTCATATATACATATATGTATTACATGTGTCTGCATATTTAGCTGTTGGAGTTAGGCTTTACCATCATTTGTTCCCCATAATGAAATAGTACAATGGGTCCGGTTCTGGTCATTGGAGCAGAGATGTATATATATTATCATGCCATGTCTCAGAATCTCCATCATCATCTGTTTTACAGAGTAACCTGCACTTAGTGGGCACCCAGCAGCCCGATGGACCGTGCCGCGTCATGTATAAGCTAAGGGAATAAATGTGGAGCCCCGGAACATGTACGTACCCTTCATTTCTCTGTCATGTGACCACTAATTCAATATCCAGTTGTAATGACAGATCAGCATCCCCAAATGACCTGGGGATGCTGAACTGTCACTAAACAATAACAACTGGGCGAGCCAGCCGTGGCGTCACGGCCGGCTCTACCCAGTTGTTATTCATTGGCCGGGACCTGCCAGAAGACTACAGCAGGTCCCGGCCAATAGGAAACAGTTGGGCGGAGCTAGCTGTCACCGCTAGCTCCTGCCAATTGTTTTGTGTTTTTTTAATTATTATTTTTTTAATATTCTTTGTTTTTTTTAATCTACATATTTTTTTTAACATTTTGAAAATCATTTTGCAATTTTATTTTGTTTAATTTAACATTCTTTTCACTGATTTTCTATTCTATTCCTATACCTCAGGGGTACCGAGCAGAATAGCCGAGCCGGTACCGGCTATTCACTCACTGCCGTCCGGCCCCTATGACAATAGGTGCAAACGGCAGCAAGTGAGCTGCCGGAGCTTCGGCTCAGCTGATCCAGATGTTGGATCGGCTGAGGCAAAGTCCTTCCGCATTTCGGCTCGGAGCATGTTCGGCTGACCGATGTACGGCCGATTTCAGCTGATGTACGGCTGAGCCGTACTTAGCCGGAGTAAATAGACGAACGTCGTTCGGCTCCGTTCACTTCGGCTCAGTTATTCACTCGGTGTCACGTACCTTAGGGAAGTCTGAGATGTCGAGGGCGGCCTCTCTCACTTCTCTGGTCCTGGGGCACCTGGATGGGTACAGGAGCACCGGGGCACAGAGGGGCAGGAGTGCCAGTAGTAGCTGAATCCAATGAGCAGGAGTAACAGAGATGGTTGCAGGTCCAGCAAGCAAGGATAGCAGAATAGTCAGGACAGGCCGAGGTCATCAATGTGCAGGCAACGCAGTACAAAGGATGAGGCATGACTAGGGTATTTTCAGAGGGACCCCTTACTACTGTAGCCTTCACCCCCCAACCATTCTACCAATAAGGCAGACCAGACTTACATGGATTTCCAAAGGCCACAGCAGCCACTTGTATCTTTAATAACAATATCAAAATATAAATACAAACTTGAATAGAAAAATACTCCAATATATATATCTATATATATATACTCGTAAACAATTAACCCAGTTATCCAGTTTAACCCAGGTTTCCGAATCCCTGAAGGCGCTTCAACTAACCAGAATGCCGTCCCATACCTGTATCTGCGGCTTAAGATACTACTAATGGGGCCCCCAGCCGCAAACCACCGCCTCGGGGACCAATATCCGTTAACCGCAGACACTTCACCGGCCAAAACTAAGTGATCAAACCAACTGACCACCACTTAAAGGACACCACACCTATGATGGGTCACCAATCCTTGTCCATAAAACCCCGGCTCCCTAACGCCTTCAAGGACCCTAAACCGCCACGAGACTGCCATGACAAGATGCACCCCAAGCCCCTCGTACATATAAAACCAAGTGATATAAACGGAAAAAAAAACAAAACAAAAAACAACAAAACAAAACCTCCTTCAGGGCGGGCGGGAAATTCCTTGTATGCTCCCGGTGTCTTCTCCTCAGGAATGATCCTGGTATCCACGTGCCGACCTCCTCCTGAAATCCCACCCCTCTAAGGTCCTCCTTCAAACCGGTAAGCCCCTCTACCAGTTTCCTGTAATTTTTTGAACCCTTTATTCCTCTGGCTCCCCTTCTCCCCCTGTCATGGTGACCTTCCGCCCATTCCTTCTTTTCCTTGGGCTCCATGTCTCTCTGGAGGATGGTCTGGAACAAGCCGAGGGTCAAATCACTGGAGAGAATCAGAAGGGTCAATCCAAGCCGGGTCCAAATAACAGATAACACTTCAGGAACAGGATGCAGGAACTCCGGGAAGCTGACAAATCTGACAGCAAAGGAGGTTTGTTAGTCACAGCCTTATATAGCCTAGAGGGCGCTCAAAAACTCAAACAATACGCCGCGCACGTTTACGCAGAGACGCTGCACCTGATACAACTCTATGAGCTGCACCAGGCGCATGCGCAAACCGCGGTGAAAGATTCCTTGCTCTGGCTTCCTGACACTCGGCTGCCTTCGGCGGCTTTGTGAATAACCCCAGGAGTACCTAGTAAGATGGCCATTGTGAGTAGGTTTTGGTATCTCCTCTGTTAGAGTTGTGCAGTATGATTGTATAATTACACCTTCATTCTGTCTTCATTTCAGGCCACCAGGACAGAGCAGATGTGTCACGCAGCGTCCCGACAAGACTTCACCTGTGTCTTCTCCTTTTATAAATGTGTTTTAGACTTTTATCGTTTTGTACTAATAGACTGACACATCTAGAGGAATATCTCATGTGCATCATTTTAATAAAACATGTCCCTAAAATTAAAGTGTAACACCGGCCATATCTTTATTTCTTTATTTTGGATGAAGTGTGGAGGGACTAGAATCTCTGTCAGGTATTTATTGCTGTGTTACTGTTTGGGAGATTCGCCCTTTTTATTTCTCCTGGTGACCACCGGAAACCAAAATGTTACACTTGTCATAGGAAAAGAGTAGAGGGGGAAATCTGTCAATGGGGAGTCTTATGGAAAGGAGTAGAGGGGGACATCTTTCAATGGGGATTCTCCTGGAAAGGAGTAGAGAGGGAAATCTGTCAATGGGGAGTCTTATGGAAAGGAGTAGAGGGGGAAATCTTTCAATGGGGAACCTTATGGAAAGGAGAAGAGGGGGAAATCTTTCAATGGGGAAATCTGTCAATGGGAAACCTTATGGAAAGGAGTAGAGGGGGAAATCTGTCAATGGGAAACCTTATGGAAAGGAGTAGAGGGGGAAATCTGTCAAACTGGGAAGCTTTATGAAAAGAATTGAAGGGGGAAATCTTTCAATGGGGAGCCTGATGGAAAGGAGTAGAGGGGGAAATCTTTCAATGGGGAGTCTGATGGAAAGGAGTAGAGGGGGAAATCTTTCAATGGGGAGTCTTATGGAATGGAGAAGAGGGGGAGATCTTTCAATGGGGATTCTACTGGAAAGGAGTAGAGGGGGAAATCTTTCAATGGGGAACCTTATGGAAAGGAGTAGAGGGGGAAATCTTTCAATGGGGAACCTTATGGAAAGGAGTAGAGGGGGAAATCTTTCAATGGGGAGTCTTATGGAAAGGAGTAGAGGGGGGAAATCTTTCAATGGGGAGTCTGATGGAAAGGAGTAGAGGGGGAAATCTTTCAATGGGGAGTCTGATGGAAAGGAGTAGAGGGGGAAATCTTTCAATGGGGAGTCTTATGGAATGGAGAAGAGGGGGAGATCTTTCAATGGGGATTCTACTGGAAAGGAGTAGAGGGGGAAATCTTTCAATGGGGATTCTACTGGAAAGGAGTAGAGGGGGAAATCTTTCAATGGGGAATATGCATGTACTTCCTGTTGTGTTTGTGAGACTGGAAGTGAAGGTACACAGTGAATGCAGATGACAAATACAATCTGACAAAGATTCTAACCCTTCCCCACTCTATCCAAAACTACAATAAATGGTGACAATGACTACAGTTGTGACAGAACTTCATGTCCCAGTGTGCGCTTCTTTCATTTGTTCACTCAAAATGTTTCTTTTGCCTTCTCCAGTACAAGTTAAAGCCAAGTATTGGTTTATGTGACTAAATTGGCCTAAAATATACCCTATATAATTATTAGAAGACGTAACCAATGAAGCTCCAGTACTAGTACTATTTTCACTTCGTTATCACACTTGACCGCAATAGTGGTTCTTAAACTGGCCTTTCCTTTGGTGTATGTTGATTCAAATTTAGGGTTAATGCTGCATATATTTTATGTGACATTTTAAGTTTAATCAATGCGTGGACACGGACATTTTTATTCATTCCAAAATGCTAAATTCAACATTTCCAAAGATTATATAATTGTGGTGACATATCCAAGTCCGTATTTGTTCAGTTAATTACATGTAAATAAGAATAGAATTAAACACACAAAAATAAAACCTGACGCCATGCGGTGCTAGATGGCCTGCAGATAATCAGAATCCATTTGACATTTAAAGTATGAATTAGGAAAGAAAAAGTTTGGATATTCAGACACTATACGGGGACAAACAGTATATCGGCAACACGTACTAGGGCTCTATCAGAACCCCGCCCTATGGACGCAAATCTACCTTTGGCCCTCTTAGATCTGCTGCACTGACATAATACATAAATATAGATAAAAGAAACAAATGTACCATTAAACGCCCCCATATTAATTCTTATGTTACCCTCCACCCTATTGATGACTGATGTGTCTGGTCAATGTCAGCAATAATAACTAGGGATGTGCCAATACCAATGTCGGTGCCGATACTGGGCATTTTCACAAGTACTAAAAACTGATCAGCACTGTAACTTTTCAAATTGATTCGGCTGCCAACGTTTTGGGGAACCACGTGGTGACTGCTTACAGCGTTTCCACTAGCCCACACATTTCCACCAGCTGAGACCCTCCTCAGCCTTCCTGAGACCCCCCACATCTCCCCCTCCTGAGATTATTCACTTCTCCTCCTGAGACCCTCCACATCTCCTCCTTCTGAGATTCTTCACTTCTCCTCCTGAGACCCTCCACGTCTCTCCCTCCTGAGATTCCCTACTTCTCCTCCTGAGACCCTCCACATCTCCCCCTCCTGAAATTCTCCACTTCTCTTCCTGAGACCCCCCACGTATCTCTCTCCTGAGATTCCCTACTTCTCCTCCTCCTGAGGCCCTCCACATCTCCCCCCTAGTGAAATTCTCCACTTCTCTTCCTGAGACCCTCCACGTCTCTCCCTCCTGAGATTCCCTACTTCTTCTCCTCCTGAGACCCTCCACATCTCCCCCCTCCTGAAATTCTCCACTTCTCTTCCTGAGACCCTCCACGTCGCTCCCTCCTGAGATTCCCTACTTCTCCTCCTCCTGAGACCCTCCACATCTCCCCCTCCTGAAATTCTCCACTTTTCTTTTCCTGAGACCCT